GGGGGGGGGGGGGGGGGGGGGGGGGGGGGGGGGCGTACTCTTATGCTTTGCATGCCTTAGCGGTTAGACCATTGACCACGCGTCCTCGAGAGGACGGAGCATTGTTCCCACAGGACCGATCACCGATGGCCAATCGTTCCTTCCTACTTTGCCAAAGGTGGCTCAAAAATGTCTTACCTAGTTTGTCTATCCTACCGATGTCACTTCCCGCCTTTTCAAACCACTTTCTACTCCCCAGTACCGCTACCGTCCTCTCCTCTCTATTCCATGCCTCAAACATCTCCCTGTACGTCCCTTGTATTCTTCCCAGCTCAGTCATGTGCACTTCCCTCTCCTTTTCGTACCACGGACATTCCGCGACTACATGAACACTGTCTTCGCATTCGAAGCCGCAATCGCATTTGAACTTGTCGTCTTCGTCGTCTACCGTCCTATGTCTTCGTCGACGTTCGCGAAGGCCTATGTCCCCGGTCCTGAATTTGACCTTAAGCTTTGTCCCTGCATCCATTGGTCCATGTAGGTAATCCTTGAACCCTATTCCTTCTTTCAACATTCCGTACACTTCTAGACCCTCCTTATCCTTGGATTCTTTCCTTAGATTCTGTTCTTCTCTCTCGGCAAAAGCAACATATATCTTCTTCTTGAACCCCTGTAGACCCTCCGTTTCCAGCGTTTCATCTTCGTCGATGTCCAATCCCTTCCATACGTCCTCTACAACCTTGACCCATTCCGTGGGTTGTCTACCCCTCTTTTTGTTTGCCCACTTCGCCTCCCATACTATTCTCGGCAACCTCTCCTCTCCCATCCCGCACATGCGATACTGCCATGTCAGCTTCCTTACGTCTCTTCCCGACCGTAGGGATTGGATCCCCAATTCTGCCCTGACTGCTGCATTACTTGTGCGCTTGGAGCATCCTAGGATGATTTTCGCTGCTTTCATCTGCGCCGCCTCGAGTTCTTTCACTACTATCTTATTTCCTTCCCATACTTCTCCGGCGTACTCTAGCGGCGGTACGATTACGCTCTTCAAAACCGTCAGTTTGATGCGTGCATCAAGGTGCCGGTTTGCGAGTATTGGGTGCAGCTTCCCTGCTCGCGGGCAGGGGGGGGGGCGCTCATTTGTTGCTTTCCTTAGTCATTCGATCATCGTTGGCAACCGTCTCTCTTGCGAGACTAAAACTAAGCACGTCAAGCACCACCGGAAGGTTGCTCATTCGTTGCTGTTCTCAGTCGTTGACCACACATGTCTTACGATACTCCTATTTACAACATAAGACACTTTCCAGCAATCGGGCTGCTGCTACTCAGTTCGGGCACCGTGAGCGGGGCTCTTTCCTGCCGATTTTTTGTTCATGGCCGCAACCTTGCGGTTCGAGCGCCACGACGCTATTTCGGCGAGACCGGGGGGTGACCCGACGAACACTAGCTCAAGAGAAGCCCCAGAAATGCGCTCCCCCCCCGTCAGCAGGAGCCTGGTCCGGTGCGAACCCGGCGTGCTCCGTCCCGGCTTTGTAGGGATGCGAGGTCAATGGTCTAACGACTACGGCAAGCACGACTATGAGTACCCCCCCCGCCCCCCCCCCCCCTCAGCAGGGGGGGGGGGGGGGTGTGTTTTGCGACTGTCGCTCTTCTTCCCTCCCTTGCCAACCTTTGACCGCACCGCGTCAATAGAGAGTGGGGGACCGAACTAGTTCATGGCCGCCGGTGGTGGCGGTAGGGTTTTCGTGGAGTGCATCATGGGGCGCAAGGTGTGGCAAAACCGATTGGACTGCTTAGGCAAAGCGTAGAGTAAGATCACCAGGAAAAGACCGGGCCGGGGGGGGGGCACGCAGACCATAACCACCCCAACTTTAGCCGATTCCATACTTTATCCAGCATAATTTCTTGCTTAGAAAAAAACTGCGCAGACTACTGAACCGATTCTAGTCCAACGCTTGTAAAGCTCACCAAGAACGGCATCGCTGGTAGGTTGCAGTTGAGCGAACAGCCTTGGGGTGTCGTTCTACGGCGTCATATTACCACCAAACCATGCCCGCGAAAAATCTAACGCGCGGTTCCTGCATTACGAGGGGCACTCCGACGACCAAGCCATGGACACTGCCGAGTTCCGCCGCCCCGGGTCCTCGCTAGCAGGAAAGCATCGCCGTTGCGCGGCAGTGGCGGGGGTTGTTTTTCTGCTAGACCCTGTAACAGAAGCCAAGTCTACAAAATCAGCCCCTCGTTGTTGGGAGCGCGGGGCGGACACACCAAATTGCTAGGGATTTTGGCTGCAATAACCTGGCAGAGATATACATATACATGGAGCCCCCCCCCCCCCCCCCCCCCCTACCAATTCCCCACCAGTTCAATTCCCCCCCCCCCTCCGGCACCCAGG